TAGATCATAGGAGGATTGATATTAGTAAACTTTCCATTGCTATTCCACGATGTCATGAGAAATTGGAGTCGGGCACTGAAACGGGGGATATGCTATTAACAGACGGACATAGAATTTTACTTCTTCTAATAGTCAGTTGAGCTTGGAATTATTTAGTTAAATAATCAAATATTATTTAGGTCAAAGATTGCAGGAACTGGGAATAAAAAAAATGGAAAGATAAAGATAAGTGTTGAAGTCCTTTGATTTTTCTTTTTTTTCTGTAAATCGAATGCATGAACAATCCGAAGAATTGTAGCGCGAACTTGCACATCAAGGAAGAAAAAAGTGCGTTAGAGATGGGTGAATAGAATATATCATAATATAAGGTTGGCCTCTCTCTTCTTCCGATCTCCGTCATTTGATTCCAGGATCAGGAAAGTAACAACACTACACAAAGTCATAAACATTCCAATTCAGTCTTGCAGGCATGCAGGTAAAATACAGGAGTGGCCGCTCTGAAAGTGCATATATATATCCTGTCTACTGGGTTTTATGTTATTGGCAGTGAATGGTAAACACTAGCGTGTTGATACCCTGACAGAAAATGCCACTATACACAAACTAGATCTATTGAAAATGAAACGTTTCGAAATTCTCCTGAATTGTATTTTTTTTCTACCATCGTGAACCGTTTACATATAGATAACTCTATTGGTATATCTACTTGCGAAACTACATACTTGCATTTATCCTCAGTTTTTAATAGTTTTCTCTTAACCCTATAATTATTAAACATAGCATCTTGAAAATATTGGCAAAAATGATAACGTTAATGATGCTGATAACAGTTATGGAAATAAAAATTTTCTCCACCAAAAAAAAAGGGAATAAGGGAAAATGTATCATAGTTAACTCCTTGGTGACTGAATACTTATGAAGTCATCTGCGTGTAAGCAAAATTAATTACAGCAGTGGATAATGTATGCACACAACGCTGAATAATTAATGCTATTTGACCCATTCTTTGTAAGGTAGCGTGGCCGAGCGGTCTAAGGCGCTGGTTTAAGGCACCAGTCTCTTCGGAGGCGTGGGTTCGAATCCCACCGCTGCCAAAGCTTTTGGCAATTAACCTGTGGCTCTGTAGTGACACCAGAAACTATATATTCTGTGATATTATAAATGAGTCAGAGGTATTCCCGATTCTTGCGACTGAAATGGAAACACACACCATGATCAGATAACCTGTTGATCATATTGTACCAGAAACAGTGAACTTAAAATTATTATGGAGATCGAAATGCATTAAAAGGTAATTTTTACAAAATAACTATGTGTGTCTACATATTCATAGGAGTGAATGAAAAGATTATATATAAATAGTCATAATCAATATCCATATCTAAATATTTTCTGGTATAAGCCATAATAAAAATACTTACGTAGTTTGCCGTTCAAAATACTGATATAGTGATACATGGCCATTGCATTATAAAGAATCTTTTATCAAGAAAAAATATTAAGGTCTTCATATCAGTTATTTGAACATCTTAGAGCAGTGTTTTTTAACCTGTGAAATGCGCGGCCATCACCTAACAAAGAGGGCAATTATATTAAATAGCCATAAATTTTGGTGGAATTTGGGAAGGGGCAACCATAACACATGTGAATGTAAGTGTTTTTTCAGTGGTATTTATTGTACTGTCTATGTCAGTGAAATGAAGTAACTGAAAAAAGAGACGCAGGTAATGTGTTATTCAGTGTGGGCGAGACTCGGAAAAAGTTGTAAACTGTTGTCACATAGAAAGCAAATAATAAAGAGGACCCAAACGATTGCCGCCCATGATCGGAAAATATATAATATTGTATGACATTGATGACCCAAGACTAACACATCTCTAAAAGGAAAATAAATGAAATATATAACTGATCTATAAACCTATAAGAAACGGCTTTTCCTTCTCCGCCTAAAATACTAGCTTTCCTTCTCGGGGATTTGCTGACCGACGAATGCTTTTACCCAAGATTCCACTGTGTCGTCAACATCCCACAATTTGGTCCCAAGATGTGGTCCTCGCGGTCTTATTGCGGTCAGTAGATGTGCTGCTTATCGAAGACGGTTGAATTTGAGATGCATTTATCAGTGAAGAAGTAGACATGGCCCGCAATTTGAGATGCATTTATCAGTGAAGAAGTAGACATGGCCCGCAATGGCAGTGCAGGTAAAGGATAGCCGTACAATATCTCATATTGAGGGGCGCGGAGTCCGGGCATTGCTCCGAGGATCACGTTCAAAATGAGAAGTGAAGATGGAAATTGAACGTTTGTATCTAATGACTTTTGTATCTAATGACTTCATTCTTTGATTCAGAGGTTATTTGAGGTCGGCTCCCCCGGTCTAGAGGGGTTCCTTTATGGCAACATCACTGTATGAAATTGATTTTGCTTTAACTACTAATAATTATTAATTTATTAGTGATCATAAAGATACTGTTTGTTTTCCATATTTATAAATGCCATG